AATATGGAAGAAGCCTAATAACATATAACATAAATATAATAGTGAAATAGTAAAATAAGAAACAATCATATGATCTGTTTAATAATAAAAGTATTTAAATAAGTTTACCAAAGTTCTGGTGGAACAGGATTCATTCCTTCCCAATCATAAACATTTAAACATGACAACCAAAATTTACCCCAAGATGGTATTGCCAAGGCACTTCCTTATATATATATAACATATTGAATAATTAGAAAGATTGAATCCAAACACTTAAATTATTATTTGCTTCATGCTGAAAATACAATTAATTACCAACCAAGTTTATGTAAAGTTGCTCTACTCTTTACCATGACTGGGTGATCAGCATCAACACCTAAAATTCGAAGTGTCACATAATTCAAAGCAGTGCCAAATACTGTTGAAGGACCCTCAACGTGACTACAATTCAGAATTAATTAAATGATTAATCGAATCAAGAATCTTACCACCTACCCCCAAAAAACAGTTACTCTTAAAACTTACATGCCCCATCCTCCATCTATTGGGTTGGCTCTGTTAAATAAATATCTAATAATTTCAATCCGCCAACTTTCAGGAATCGATATATGTGTGATATACGTGGATATTATAAGACCAGGAAGTAAAAACATTGGTCCACCATATTCACATGCCCAATGACCATCTTCCGTTTGAAGTTGCTTAAAAAATTCAAAGCCATTATGTGCAGCTTCAAGAGGAGTTTTTGGAGTGCCAAAGTTTTTACTAGTCTATTGAAATTATTTTATTTTATTTTATTTTATTTACCTTAAAAATAACTATTTTTCATTTACTATATAACTTACAAAAGGTATTCCTAACCAGTATTTATCACACATGGTTTGTGGCCAATTTTTAATCTCTTCCTTATTTTCTAAATGATGCCAGGTTTGACGTCCATGATCAACTTTAAGCCTCCAAAGAGAATAGTCTGTTTTTTCCACAAAATAATCATTAGGTATCTTTTTGGTGATGGTATTTGTGGTTGTCATTTTTTTTTTCTTTTTCAGCAAAAAAAAGATTTATGAATGAAAACGGTGTCACGCAATTTATATATATTTTTTTTTATGCTAAAATTCAAGTTGATCAGTAAAGCTATTCTTCACGTCGTTTATCTCAATTAAAAATTTCTTTTGTATATTCTGTGACTTATGCGTAACATCAGATTAGAGACAATGTTTTGCTCCTTAAATCTTGAAAGCTTTGGTCATTTTTACCTCCCACCTCTGTACAGTCTAACCTTGTTACAACGAATGTATGGGACTTGGTCATTTAAAAAATTCGTTGTAATTAAAGCGATCGGATCGACAAAATCGTAACTGATCAGGTAACATGTGAAATTTAAAATTATTCATTTGAAAAATGATGCAATGCTAATGCTGGTTTTTAATTCTTAATTAACGATTTAAAGGCTTTAGGCCCGTTGTAATCTATTTCAATATCACCCTTGTGAGAAAATTGTACATTGTTTCAAAGGCATAAGCAGCAAGCATTAATTGAAACTGTAGGAGTTTTAAATGTTGATGTACCACTTTCACCTGTTTCTTCTTCAACGAAGAAATAATTTCTCCTTCTCATTTCACGATCTAAATATGTGTTACTCATAGAGATGTTCCAATGCGCACGTAATTTTTGAAATCATACGCATGAAGTTTGAAATTTTCATGCAATTTCCCATCCCTAGTTACTCATTAAGAATTATGTAATCATCCTGAATTCCAAAGATCACACACTGTTTGTGTTTGTTATCTTTTACTTTTGTTCTTGTCTCGTTTAAGAATACTCCAATATTATTTATTTATAAAAGATTGATATTATGACTGATCAAGAATTAATAAGAAAACCCCATTCTTAATATTAACTGACGCACCAGCAAATTAAATTGTTTTATTTTAGTTTTTATCAACTTCAAGATTGGAAAATGCAAGGGTTGAATCAATAAAACCCTGAATCCCTGAATAAGATGATTACATAATCTATCTTGCGGTTCATCTAATTGTAATGTGTTAACGGGCCTTACTGACAATGACGATGAAAATTATATTGAATCAAAATCTGTCGAGCATTTTTAATATTTTTATTATATTTATTATAGAATCCTGTATATGTATTATTTTATAATTGATTGAAGTTGGCTCTCACAATCAAAAATACAATCAGCAATAATT